AAGTTTGGAAGATTTCCCTAACTGACAAGCAGAACATAAATCTAAACAATGTTTTGTAGAAACAGGAAGCAAACAACTAGAAACAATAGTGTCAAAAACACGTTGATGTGGATGACCAAGGCGGTGGTGCCAGATTCTTGAGGAAGCTTTAGTTGCTGTGAGAGCCAACTTTGGTAAAGGCTTGAAACTTGGAAGACAAAGCGAGTAGAGACCGTTATTACTTGGTCCCGTGAGAAGAGTGGTGCGAGTACGTTCGTCCTTCACAACAAAGAAAGAGGAGTGAAATTCAAAGAAAACATTGTTGTCTTGACAAAATTGTTAAACAGATAAGAGATTTTTCTTGACATCAGGAACATGAAGAATATTGGAAAGATTAAAGGTTTTATTAGATGAATAACATTTTGAGGATCCAATATAAATAATAGGAAGAGAGTTACCATCACCAACATGAAGAGAATCAGGACCACGATAGAACTCAGAGGTGTCAAGGTTGGACAGATCTGGTGTGGTGTGGGAGTTTGCACCTGTGTCAGGGAACCAAGTAGTGCTTGAAGTAGAGACATTGTCAGCAAAGGTTGTGAAATTTGCCTGCAAATTCGGTTTTGGCGAGTTACTTGCATCCTGGTTATTTGGACACTGAGATGGAAGATGGCCAATACCACAACGGTTGCAGTGACCAAATACAATGTTTTGTGTGGAGGCCCAAGAGAATTGCCTGGAGGGACCTGAGTTGGCACCACGAGATCGATTCTGAAAGTTCCCATGCGAATTATTCCCACGCGAGTTGCCTCGACGATTGCCTCTATAGTTGTTGTTTGGGGGTCGTGAGGCATAGAAGGCTTGAGGAGTTACACTTTGTGGAGCAATCAGATTAAGTTGGAAGCCAAGCTGGGACGCCATGCTTTGTAGAGACTGAAGTTGACTTTGAAAATTGTTAATGTTGAGTGATGTTTCTGTTGAAGCAGCAAACACGTGTGGCTGTGATGCACGGACAGCAGTAAGATTTTTATTTATCATATAATCATGATCACTCAGAAGGGCATGTAGCTCAATGAAGGTAACAGGTGGGTGACGAGCTAAGAGGGTAGACTTGAGTCCGTTGTACTCTTCACGTAGCCCAGAAATAACAAGAAGAACCAGATCCTTGTCTTTAACAGGTTCACCAATATTAGCAAGTACAGTAGCATATTCTTGTGCATGTGCAAGATAGGCAAGAGGAGTTTCATCGTCTTTCATGGTGAGTTTTAGCAACTGGGTTTTTAATGTATACTCTCTTGAAGAATTGGTTGGGGCATAAACACGTTTTAATTGTAGCCAGAGATCTCGTGAGGTAGTACCCTGAACATGCTGGAAGGAAGCCTCTGAGATGGTAGAGATGATGATCATACGGACATGAGCATCGTTAGAAATCCAACGAGAGTAACTAGGATTGTCTGTAATTGTCTCTCATGTGCCGACTTTGGGCTCAGGGCATGGTATTGTACCATCGACATAGCCGAACAAATTGTTGGAGACGAGAAAGGGTTCTAACATGGCCTTCCAATACCCATAGTTTGTGGGTGTGAGGGTAAAAGCGAATTTATGAGAATTATGAGAAGTTTTCTTCTGTGTCGTAAAAGCAGCAATGGTCACCATGAAGTTTCTTGACAGATCGGCGATTAGGGTTTATCTTGCGTAAGAGGCTGTTGTGAGAATGTCGCCGATAAGGTAAGGATTAACTTGGCTCTGATACCAAATCAAACCGTGTATTATTATTGATATCTCAAAGATTACGATACATATGAACCTAATATATATAGGTTAGATAAATACAATTAGGTACCCTCTAATTTAAGTAAAATACAATGCAACACATAAACTTAGTCTAACATTTTTTAGAGTGAGTTACGATTTTAGTCCATGCATATAGATGGTTTTTGCAAATTTGGTTCCAAAAATATTCTCTTGCAATTTTGGTCCTTATTTAAGGTTCTTGTAACGTGGTTGGTTCCTGATCCAAGGAAAGTGACTATTATTGGCAGTGGTGGACCTTAGTGGAGCATTGGGGGTCCCGGGCCACTGCTCAATTTCTGGCACGTAGTGTAAGTTTTTTTTTTTTTTTTTTTTTTTTTTTTTTTTTTTCTATTAGGTGCACCGGCTTGAAGTACCAGGGACACCCCTACTAAAACAGTCTGCGTCCGCCACTGATTATTGGTCCCCTGTTGCAAATTTTGCTGCAAAATTATAGTCATTTTACTTGAAAAGGACCACAACCGTTACAAAAACCTCAAATAATCACCGTAATTGCAAACGAGAACTTTTAATAACCAAAATTGCAAAACTCAACTATAATTAAGGACCAAAATGACAAGACTCAACTCTAAGGACCAAAAATGTAATTTACACATTTGTATTAAAAGACCAAATTTTCATCGTAAACCCATTAAACATAAACAAATTCTCCCTTTAACATAATTCACATTCCAATCTCTTTCATAAAATTTACAGCAACAAAAAATGAGATTGAATTTCATTCTATTTTTGCCAACCAAAAACACGATGAATACTAATTCCTTCATATTTCTAATTCCATTCCTTCCAAATGACACTGAACTTATTTGATTGCAGCATTGAGTGTTGGCCCGAACCGCAACGGGGCATCAAAGAAGCATACATGGTTCTAAAGATGGGAGGAAAGGCATGTTTAATCGGGCCTGTACATCCAACCTATTGGTTGTCTCGTTTCTTTGCAGACATGTTTATGCTGTTTCCAGAGGAGGAAGAGTACATCGAGTGGTTTGAAAAGGCTGGATTCAAAGATGTTAAGATCACGAGGATTGGCCCAAAATGGTACTGTGGGGTCTGCCGCCATGGTCTTATCATGGGGTGCTCTGTTACCGCGGTCAAACCCTTATCGGGGGATTCACCGTTGCAGGTGATGTGTTTTCTTAAATGTAAATTTATAACTTTATATGAAATATGCAAACAACATTTGATTTTTGGACCAAAAGATGCTATATTTTACTGGTAACATGTTAAACCGGTTGAAACATGGTTGTATAATTCATATCATTTGCATATATTGGCAAAGGATTGTAACAATGTTGGATACATTGGTAAAAAGATAAAAGGTTGTTGCATAAATTGGTAAAGATATGAAACATTGTTGCATAAATTGGTAAAAGTATAAGACATTGTTGCATAAAATATTTAACCATTTTAGAATATTCCAGTGGTAACTAAAATGCCAATGTCGGTGAACCCATTCACTTTACTTTGAAATATCTAACTAATAATAACATTGCACTTTTAGTTCTTTCTTATTATTTCTTGCATTTAACCATTCAGTTCCGTTACTGGTTGCAGCTCGGCCCCAAAGTAGAGGACGTGAGAAAGCGGGTGAACATGTTTGTGTTCCTTGCCCGCCTTATCTTGGGTGCAATTGCTGGTGTCTACTATGTTATGCTCCCTATTTACATGTGGCTTAAGGACCGGATTGTCCCCAAAGGTCAACCAATCTGAATCTGAGAGATGGTTTAAGTCTGAGTTGCATTTTGGTTTTTGTATGATATGATGTCTGGTTTTTAGTTTAATCTTCAAGAATTGATTAGTATTCTTATATGACAACCCTTTAATTTTTTCAATCTCTAATCATTCTCATGATCTTGTGTGCGTATGGTGTGTGTGTGTATATATATATATATATAATTTGGTGTTTTTATAAAGAAATTGAATTACAGAGTTTCCTAAATTACTTGTTATGTGTTTTAGATTAATGCGTATCTACTTGTGTATTTTCATGAGAATGATTTCATAAAAGAGCTTTATAAAGAGAGAGAAGTATAATGCTTTGAAATGTGTTTTTGCATAAATCCATATGCATTCATATAAGATGAGAAATGGCTTGTATGTGTCCCTCTAAAGTCCATGGCAAACAATGTTAAGTGACTTAAGGTGTTGTGTGGTATTTTAGACATGCCCACTTGTATAAGAGGTTAGCTACCTCTTGTACGGAACACGTGGATTGATTGCCCATTCGTTCCCATTAAGGTGAAAGGTGAGAAGTCGTGACATATGATGCTATGTGCTAACTATGTCATAGTTTTCATGTTATGTGATGCCCAATATTTCGGTAAATTTCTTATTTATTAAATGTTTATCTATTTGCATGAAAACTTCGTATGCTGGGAGTACTTCGAAGGATGTTGGACACGGGGTTAACCTCCGGGTACGTTCGGCGTACGTGAGCTCTCATTATCAGCCTCCATTGTCCCTGTAAGCACTATCTCGAACCCCTAACCCATTTCTAGAGAGAGTTGATCCTTATGTGTGTTTTAGTGTGTGTTTGGTGTATCTTGAAGAAGAAGAAGCTTGGTGAAAAAGCAATGATCAAATAGGAGCTTGTAGATCCAAGGGGCTTCCTCAGCTTCCTAGAGGTATAAAGTCTTGACCTTGGTTATTCTATGCTTAGATCTAGAACTAGTTGAGATTGTAGCATATTTTGGTCCTATGAATGAGTTCTTGTGAGTAAATGTTACTCTAGAAGTTATGAGATGTTCCTTTTGATGTTTCTGAGGTTCCTAGTCCAAAAAGTTTGCATCTTGATGGTTGTAGATCAACCATGCATGAGATGATGATCATTTGATGGAAGTAGAATGCTAAATCTAAGGTTTGAGTCTCTTTGAGACATGCAAAGGCATCAAGTTAATGACTTTATCATTTAAGACATCCCCTAAGAGCCATATCTATAAAATACACGTTTGGACTTAATGCATTAAGTGCTTAATGACGTTTGTACGCTGAGCGTACGTGCCTGAGCCTTCGATTCCCTTTGGCGGAAGTTAGTTCGCGAGGCGTACTGGTGGTATGCTTAGCTTACTCACCGGTAACCCTTTTTGGGTTTTAGGACGTTTGGGCCTTGTGTCTTTTGGGCCATTGTTGGGCTTTAGGTTTCTTGGGCCTTGCTGGGCCTTAGGTCTTCTGGGCTTGGTCCATAGGTTGAGAGGCCCACTAAGGAAAGGGTAAAATGGTCTTTTACCCCTTAGCATGTTGGATGGTAGTCTAGACCTTTTATGGGTCATTACCCCGAGTACTTACTAGGGTTATTTGGAATGTTCAGTGTGAGGAGTTGTGGTAGTAGCAGTCTGGGAGTGCGATTTGTCTATCTTCAGTTTGAGGTGAGTCTCTTCACTATACTAGTGGGTCGAAGGCACCAATATCGGCCCACTGGATCATGATTGTAGGATGATAGTGGTCTTTGTGATACTTGCTGATATGTATGTGTATGCTTGTTGTCTTTGTGGCATGAGTATATATATATATATATATATATATATATATATATATATATATATATATATATATATATA